TTTTTTATACTGTTTTTTCTCCATCGACTGTGTTGCTGTAACATTGGAATTTCCCCATTGGGACAAATAAAGGAATATCTATTTATCTTATCTTTAGCCCTTGACTTTGGGGTGTCTGAAGCTGATCCACATGGTCAAACTTTTCTGATTCATCACTTTCTGTTGAGTAAAATGTGTACAAACTTACCAATATCATATATTATTATAATATATTAACCAATATTTGTTAGATGTATGGAATATTATTTGTTGAGATATGTTGTCTTTGAAAGGATCTTTGACACTTATATGTGTTGCAGTCTCTCTTTGTCATTAAGGCTAATATAGGCTTTATTTTTACACAACAAACTTTGCTTAGTGAAGCTACAGTAAACTTATATTAGCAATTTATTCAATGGTGTCATCACATATGACATACATCCTTGATTGAGCAAATGGTAGGATGTAAAAAAATATTGTGCTAAACACACAGCTGTGCTCTGGGCAGCACTCAGTGTGCTGTCAACAGCGGTGCCAACCACCTGTGGCCTCTGCCTCTCAAAAGCCTTTTAACTCCATTTCTCCCCTAGGGGAAAGGATCATCCATCTTAGTGACAACCTGGAATTGTGAAAAATACCTATGGCTGACAAGGAGGGTCCTCGAGATGCCAAGAACGCCAAATGCAGATGGCCCGCTGCTGAATCCTACAGGCAGTGACACCTGCCATGGCACTCTAATATACTCTAATATGGATGCAGCATGTCTGAATGGAAATGGGATGTGTAATCTCCATCATAAATGACTCGCTGCATATTGCACCTGTCTTGTTTTATAATCATATGCGGGGAAGTGATGCAACAGATGTTTGACATGCAGACACCTGCCAATATAAACTGGGATTATTAGAGCTGTCACACTTCAGCTTTTCATTCTCTTTGCACCATGGTCTGTCGCAGCATTATATTGTTACAAACATTTTGACTGACTGCTATTTTGGGGTTTGTGACTACAGACTGAGATCTTAACTTTGAAAAATGTGATGTTCAGTGACAAGTGAAACATGATTTAAGAAAGAAAACAAAAGGTCTCAAATGATAATTTGGGTTTATTCCACAATGAGTCTTATTTTCAAAGTTCTGACCATAATTTCTATCAGTTATGATAACATTGCTCACAACCAAAGTGCTTTCTGAGATCTGGTAACATGATGACAGTGATGGCAAGAAAAATGAGCAGTGCAACAACAAGAGAGATTGTAAACAGTTTATCCAGATTATCTAAAGCACTTTATTCGGGGTCAGAAAAGAAAGTGAGCACATAGATATAAGCCATAATCCCTCATTACAGAAGAAAACTGTGAGAACACAACTATGGCAAGAACAGTATTCCAGTAAAATTGGGTGGGTGTACTTTTTTTTAGTAATGCTACCATGTTTCCATGCCTCAGCAATCAAGCCTGTGTACCAAAAGGTATGTTTGTATGCTACTAAATAATTCTGACAAGTATGTCTTGTTGTACATGTAATTGCTGCATAGGTAATGTTCACTAGCATCATAGATGGTGCTATTAAGAGGCTAGGGGAAAAATTATCACTGAAAGAAATAAGTCACTACTAAACATAGCTGTCAGTATCACACTGATCTGTGTTCAGTAGCAGATAATGTAGGCTAATTAGGCTGTCACTGTCTTGAGATCAATGGGGAAGCTTCTCTGTCACACGTCACGTCACTACAGAGCACACTGATCCCGTTACACACAATACCAAAGTGTTACACAAAATAAATTGTTAAGACTAGAACACACAAAAAAATGTTACAAATGCCACTCAAGTGTAAACTTATTGTGAGTTTGGAATTATGGCTGTTGCCTTCTTCGTTTTATGGAGCCAGAAGTGACCCTGTTTGGACAAGAGCGTGGAGCTGGTGGGTGACATACTGCAAATTTGGCTGCACTTGGTTTTGGTTCAGATTTAAAAAAGGTCAGCGTGCCTGGTCACAAACCTTCTCATATTACAGAACAGAATCTTGATTCATATTTGATCAGTGCTGACTAGTTTGACAGTTGGCCCTGAGTTTGAGCGTTGAGTGCGATGGACTCACTGAGAATGACAAGGTAGCCATGCCTTAAATCATACCCTGCTTTATTGTCTACACTAGGGAACTCAACATGTTTCAAATCCTTAACAAATCATATCAGCACCTATTTTCTTCTCTAACCCTAACACTAAATTGTCCATATGTTTAGTTTTTTCTTGAAAACATTTAGCTTACTCTTTCATTTTAACAGCTTTAAATATTTCAGTTACTCTGTGTAGAAACTAGCTTATCCCACATACATGGAGAAGTTATGTACAAAAAGAAATCCAATCTTCAGACAGATCTTGTGTTTACCTGTTTTTCCTGTGTTCTTCATAGATGTCTTATTAGATGATTCAGTATCAAAGCCCTCCAGTGTCAGTTCCTGATACTCTGTGGATACTTTAGTATCCTGGTCCACAATGTTGATTGGCGACTGGTTTCTCTCTCTGCATTCTGGGTAGGCTAAAGCCCAGCCCTCGTCTGGCCCGTATATACCTGAGGAAGACAAGGAATGCAACAGGGTCTCGTCACTAGAAGGATACCATTGGATGTAAAATTGAGCAGACTTTAAAAGGATTCATCAGAGAAAGAAAATGACATTTCAAAACCATTTCATGTCCTCTGAAAACAGCTGACAGTGTGCGCTGCCAAGTCATCTGAATTCCAATTAAACATTGCACACAGAATAACATCATGAGCCAGCTGCTGAAAAAGCAAAACATTTTCATTTGTGTGGTAAATAGAGAATTTCAAAATGTCATGCTGCCTTTTTGGAAAATCTTACATATAAGAAAGAATTCTATTTGGTTTTGCACTGCTGAACTCCTCCTCAACTTCTCCTCAGACAACCCCTCTGCAGTCAGCATCAATCACAACGTTACTGAGCTAACAGGGAACCCTCAAACACCCCAGATGTGTTATGACGAAGCTAAAGTGCAGGTATGTGTCTGTGTGTCTCTGTGTCTCTGTGTGTGTGGAGAGGCAGCCTTTGACAGTAAATGTCCACTGACTGAAAGCCTGAGGCCAGAGGCGCACTGGAGTCACTTTTTGCAGAGGCTGTAAAAGAAAGACAGTCAGAGGAAGGGCCAGGACTGAAATGTCACAGGGCCCTGCTTTAACACCTGAGTGTTTACTAAAAGAGCAGGGCTGTAGCTACTAGGCACACCAGGGGCAGGATGTTGCCTGAGGCCCCACAGCCCCACAGCCCCACCCCTGAACGCAATTAATTCAATGCTAACAGGAAAAGGAGAGCAATGAAACTGGAACGTCTGGATTCTGTTCTGTGCTCAACAATCAACTACCTTTCTTGGCTCTAATTGGTTGTTTTGTTCAGGCCCACCAACGTCTCTTTTGCAGGGCTGCTGATAGGACAGACAAAAGGGATGGGCTAATGCGCCACAGAACTAAAAAGTAGGATAGTAATAATGGACACATTTTTAGTAATATATAACTAGGCATAAACAGGTTTGAATGAGTGAGGATCAAATGTGATATTCTGTGCTTTCTAAAAAGAAGATATCAGAACTAGAGCACTTATTAAGCCTACTGGAGTTATTATTATTAACATTATAAAAATTGAATACAAATCTTACGTATGTTTTATTTGAAGTAGCCTATTATCTTTTGTCAATGTCTTTCTATCTTCTCCTCTGCTGTTGCTATGACTCAGTTTCATCTTATCTTAACGGTCTGCTCCATTCACAATAATGCAAACTGCAAGTCCACTGCTATTCCTCCCTGCATGTGGCCTAAAAGCAAAACATATCAAGAGAGTTGTATATGTATTTTTTGTGAATTAACAAGATGAGACAGACATGACATTTGAAGTTTGATTTTGTTTTTGTAGAAACTGGTGTATTATTCCTGCATTTATGGTTTTCATGTGACCGCATACCTGTCTCAGACCTGTATCATGGGATGGAAAATGTAGATAATAGGCCACATGACCCTGATTAATTGCTCTACATTCAGACTTATATTCTGATTTGCTCCTTTGTGTCAGGCACAGAGAAGCTTTGCTACGGTGCCATTTCCCATTCGAGCTGCGTTCTGAGCAGCACAGACCTATAATTCTCCTGTCAGTGAAAACTAGTCGAGCTTTACAATGTGGAGGACGAGAAGTGAACCATTAAAAGCAGTTTTCATTGAGACGCTGCTAAACATCAGGCAAGGTGTATTACTTTGGCATTTACTGGAATACACAATGAAATGGCTCAAGTTCACGTGTTGATGCAACTCCTGAAAATAGCAGTCATCTTTCCTCCCAAATACTGCTGTAGAGGTTTTTGAGTTGTGTAAGGGCCAGTGAAAAGGTAGAAGATAACTACCCTGTCACTGGCATATTCATTGTGTTACTCTGAACAGCAGACAACTGAGTTTTTATTTCTGTCCAAATTTGGTTGTTGCTTATGTTGTTTAACACTGCTGTTGCAACTGTGAAGGCTGTTAAGTTTGTTTGGCATTCCACTGATTTTACACATGGAGGTCAGTTCACCAGTCATGGACTAGTCATGCTTGTTGTGTAATGTTTTCTGTGGCTCTAAAGGGGATTTATTGAGTCTGAGACAATAACTCATGAAAAAGTCAAAGTAATATCATTACTCGACAACAGCAACCCTGGGGTGTGGAGCTTGAAAAACATCAGCGCAACAGTGCAAGATCATTCACAAACCCACCTTGCCAACTTCCCAGATGGTTCTGGTGCACTCAGGTTACTGATTGCATAATGGGAGATGTTTGACGTCTGTTTAGAACACTAGTGTAGTGCTTCTCACTGCTCCTTTAGGTTGTCACACTGCGTGAATCACACCCTACCAACATGCGATCAATGTGGGTAATCCAGCTGTCTGACAGTGCCATAGGAAAAGGTGATAGAGGCTTTTCTTACTTTTGTGGCATTGTCACTACAATAACTTAAAGAAAGTCTATTTTAGAGAGCAGTCAAGGAGCAAGTGTGAGTGTTCTAACCCTGATGCTACACTCCATTAGCCCTCAAATCTGCCAATGAATTTGAATGAAGGGGTTCAAGCCCTCGATTTATAATTAACACTGAGTGTATAATTGTACAACTAAGTATAATTGTAGGTTCCCTGGTTTTTATGTAGTTAGGATAACTGATAATATACAGCTTCTTTCCAAATAATAAAAAAAAAAAATCTGATGCTCTCGAACATAGACATGTGAGACATGTGACCACACTTATAGGTTAATAAGGGGATATTTTGAAGTCTGTAGGTTGGGTTTATATTTTATTAGATTTCAGATTGCAACCAACTAAAACCCCTTAACTCAACCAAGCGGGAACTTACGAAAAAAGTGAAAAGCCCTGTCTAAAATCACTGTTTGGTTTGTCTGTTCTGTCTGGGCTACTATAGAAACATGGGAGTTTCAACATAGTGGACTATAGGACCTGCTCTCTGTAGATAAAAATTGGCTCATTTCACACAAGTTCTTAATTAATATTATATATATCTTATTATACACTAATGAAAACATACCTATGGATATTATATTAAATTTCTAAAAATAGAATCCGCCTAAATGTTACACACATGGACTTTGAAACAGTTACTAACTGATAAGACTACCACGGAAAGTATTATAAGGAGTCATACTGAAAAAAGTACAATGTACAAGATGGCTGTGATTCCTCATCTTGAACCACTAAAGACCATAACTCATGATCATACTTATCAACTTCCAAATTTAACAATTGTTGCATATACTGGGATAGCGCAACATTAAAAGATACTCTTTCTGAGTAAGGAAGTTGGAAGGAGATTAAAAAATTATAATAATTAAATTTCCGTGATCTTGTAGATACATCAACATGTTTTTAGCCACAACAGTGGCTCGAAAACTACGTTCCAGAGTGGTGGGAGGCTGGCATTTCGGACTTCCACACTGGTAGCTGAGCAAGGAAATGCAGTCAATAGCTATTTTGTTCAAATCTAATGCAATTTTATTACAAGGTTGAATCCAATGCAACATGAAAAGATCCAGCCTCCATAATGTTAGTTTTTTTATTATCTGATAAAAAAGCACTGAAAGAGAATTGTCCAGTGTTGGCGAGGTTTGTGCCTTTTGAATTGTGCTTTGTTTATTTCATTTTTTATGGAATATCATGATGGCTGTCATCTTTTTACACCCACGTACTTTTATTATCTCACTGAAACCATAATGAATATCCAGTCTGAGTGCCACACCTCCATAAATTGTATGTCGACGACAATATGTAGGACTAAATTCAAGAGATTTAATTAGTTTATACCCCACTTGTTTTTATTGAATACCTTAACCCGTTCTTAGGACTGTAACTGGGATGAAACACCACAGCTATGGAATATCACAAAAATCTTTGAGCCAAAAGAGGACAAATGAGTGAGACAGCGGAAAACTCTAAGAGCGCAATAGCGTGGATACGATATATAGTCCGCGGCGAAAGAAAACAGTGCCAGAGTGAGGAGGATCCCAGTGCCAATGGGACAGATTTGTTTATTTCCATATAATGTGTGAGGAAGTGTCATGTATATGCTGGGTGGCATGTACCTGTATGGAATTGTTAAATGTTACATTGTATATTATCAATGAGAGTACATCACAATTAATATTCGCTTGTCTGCGAATGTAAATGGTAAATGGACTGTACTTGTTAACGCGCTTTTCACGTCTTCCGACACGCTCACAAGCGCTTTTACACCTTCGTTACACCATTCAACAGGCGATGCAAAGTCCATCGACACAGAAACTAAACTCATTCATACACAGGTTTAACACACCGATCATGGCATCCGGGAGCATTGGAGTTAACGTATCTTGCTCAAGGATACCTTCGACATGTGGGTACCGAGGAGCCGGGGATCGAAACCCAACACATTCCGATTAAGGGACCGACCTGTCTGCCTCTGCGCACAGCCGTTTTTTTTGTACATTATCAAAATGGCATTTAATTAGGAAAGTACAACAGAGGGAGATCTTTTTGATTTTAAAGCTGCAGTATGGTAACTTTAATATACAAAAAAACTTCCTCTCGTCCTTATTGCTGACATTTTCAATAGTGTTCTGACAGTAGTACATGGGACAGATAGAGCTGTGAGAATCTGGTTGGCATTTGGGTCATAAGATACTAATAATGGCATTGCAAGAATTCACCGGACCTGAACACCAAACAACCAAATCAAGCAATCCCAAGTCATCGTATTTGACCCCTGGGAATGAGACTCAATCACCCATCTTTTTCGCCTGTGACTGGTTGTTCTTGCTCATGCCCAATGGATTGAATTGAACCATAAAGAACATATTAAAAAAAATCTAAAAACCTAAAAATCAATTTTAATCTGCTTTCTAAGGTTGAAAAATCCCAGAAATGCAGCGTTTGTTAAATCTAGAAGTCATTATATATTAGATATAGTCTTGAGTGGTCAAGATGAGGAATCACAGCCATCTTTAAAGGTAATGGTAAATGGATATGTAGTTGTATACGCCTTTAGCTTCCGACCAATCAAAACGCACTTTTACACTACGGCCACATTCCCCTTTTCAACACACATTCACAGGCAAAGTCCATCGAACCAGAAACTTAACTCATTCATAACCACATTCACACACCGATGCTATGCAAGATACTGAAACCGCATGGGTTCAGTATCTTGCTCAAGGATACTTCGACACGTGGCAGGAGACCGGGGAGATCGAACCAACAACCTTCGGATTGGGGGACAACCCGCTCTGCCTCTGATCGGTTCAGTATAAGACTGATTGTTAATCACTCCCATGTAAGTCTCACGTGTGTAAACCTACAAATCAGTTAGACACTGTTTTAAAGTCTTTAAGTCTAAGTTTAGTTAAAATATTGAATTTTCTTGTAAAACTAAAGCATTGTCATTTTAGATGTGCAGTTTTAAGCTCAAATTGAGTCCGATCAAGATTGAGGTCTTTATCGGAGACAGGCGACAGATGTTTTATAGGTATATGTGCTCATATGTCGGTAACACAACTTGTGTTTACTGATCTGCTTCCAGTTGCTGTGTTTATTCGCTTCCATTATATTCCCACTGCAGCTCAGTTTCAAAACCCTCATTAAGGAATGGGCATGTATAAGCTCAAAATTATGGCTTATACTGCATGAGATATGAAAAGAAAGCTAAATCATTCACTGGTTTTGCATCTGTAACACATCCATTATGTGTAACACACACTCTTTCATAACCTTTAAGTTCGAAAATACATTAAAGTCGACTGTTGACTCACGGTGTTAAACTAATTTCAAAGATTTGCAGCAAAAAAAACATCAAGCTGTCGTCACATTAACAGCTCACAACAATCAGACACATTTGTTTTAGGAAATGTCTTTCTCATTCTGCCTAAAGTACAAACTGTCTGAATAAAGACAAGATGTTATGTGAACAAATTTTATTGTAGATGTGGAGTAGATCAGTTAGTCTTGTAATGTAATGCATCATAGGTTAATCACCTTTTTCCCACAGTCTTTCTCTGTCAGCTTTGAGCAGCTCTGTTACCAGTTTGGATTCAAGTTGATTTCATTTGTTTTTAGCCACTTCATCAGCAGCATCCCATGATGTACTTATTTCCCATTAGTTGGAAAAGAACAACAGTCAGCCTCTTGCGGATGGATCGTTGTTTGCATTTCATAGTCAACCGGTTATTCAAGCATTACACCAACTACTGCAGCTGCACTAAAAGCCTGAAGAAGACCTCAGCTTCAAATTGGCAATGTCAACAAAAACTGATCCGAGCTCTGTCTGAATCTCTCCTTCTCTGTGTCTCCCTCCTTCTCCTGCCCACTTACACTAGCTCCCACTATATGCACCCCTCTCTCTCTAAACTCTGCCCCTAATTGAAAGCAATACTGGGCTCCTGGGCTCTAAAATGAATTTGTCTATGATTACTCATGCCCTGGCGCGTTGCGAGCACCAGGTAATGTCTATTTCATCGAATTAGACGGCATCCTGTTCTCCTTCCCCTCTCCTCTACGTCCGTCCTTGCCTGGGGGCGGCTATTGATTGAGATGGTCTGGCTTTCCTATAAGGCTAGCATTACCTATGGATCCAGACAGCCGTGGCCCAGCCGGCGAATGCAGCTGACGGAAAAACCTGAAGCGATTAGTCACTGCCTTAATACAGCTAATTTCTGCTGAAAGCAGCAGTATAAGGCAGTGCAAAGGTAAAGGTGGGAAGAAAAGAGGAGACTGGCATGACTGCTAGAGTGCTAACCTCAATCACACACCTGGCTAATGGCTAAGAAGCTGTGTGCTGAATAGGCTGACTCACAAAAGGGCACTGAACCTCGAAATCTAGCTCCTTCTTTAAGATTCTCTGGCTGCATGTGTTAGGAAGTTGTTGAGAGCAAGTGTTGAGTGCAATACAAAAGGGCTTGTACTATGTATATTTGTAATAGTTCATGTACCATATATAATTAAGTTACTCCAACATACATCCATCCATTTAATATTGTTCGCTTATCCGGGGTCGGGTCGCGGTGGCAGCAGGTCAACCAGGGCACTCCAGCCGTCCCATCTCACCAGCAACGCCTTCCAGCTGCTCTTAGCAAATCCAATCCAATGCACTGCTTGGCCATTGTTTATCTTTTTTAACAACACCACACATGATTTTGAACATTGTAGTCTTGTAAGGCCCCACGGATGATTAAATTCTGCTTAGGGCCGGTCCTGCTAAGACAGCAAGTTGCCTTAAATTAAGTTTGTCCATCCGTCCATCCATCCATCATCCATTGGCCAGAAAACCTCCAAAGGAAGGCATCCAGAAGCCATCCTAATTAGATGCCAAAACCACCTCAGTTTGCTCTTTTCGATGCAAAGGAGTGGCGACGGCTCTACTCCGAGCTCCCTCACATCCAAGCTCCTCAAGGGTGAGGTCCCGTACAACCTGCTTCACTGTTGATATCGCACCAATCCGCCTGTCCATCTCACACCACGCCACCACTAATGAACAAGACCCCGAGATACATGGACAGCAACTCATTCTCAACCCTGGTCCTGATCAATCGGGTATTCATTTTCATGATGCGATAGAGTTCTGAATATTAAAGGAGACTGAAGCTAGTATGAAAATGATTTTATTTAATAATGAATCCATGGGAAGACTACAACTCATCTTCTTGTTTAACATCACAACCTTGGATTTTTTTACAGAAAAAACTAAACTGACAGCATAACTGAAACCAGGAAAAGATTACTGTGATGGACTTCTCCAGGCAAAAGAAAATCTTGAGGAGGAAAAAACAAAAACAATTTTAACTTTAATTTGCATCTGGCAGCTAGTGGACGGCACTGTTGTGCATTTTTACTCCAGGTGAGGATTTGAAAGCAGAGACAGGTTGGGGAGAGTCTGGTGCTGACAGCATCCAGAGTACAACTAATACACCTCCCTTGATTGGTTCTTCTCCTCTGAATCCAGGCCTCCTTGACATGCAGGCCAACTCATTTTGATTTCTGTATTGATTTCTGCCATTTCCCCACTAATCCTGATAGAATCAGTACAGGGAGAGAAGACTCTTAGTGCCTGCTGAGAGGACACTTCCTGCCAAATGGAGAAGAGAAACACACCACACAGCTCTCTCTTGTTCTCATTATTTCCACGCTTGAGAAGACCTTTTCTGATGTGAGCAGTTAATTGTAGGAGATGGACATATGGCAAGAACGTGTCTTATTTTCCTGGAAAGAACAGGAATTGCCATGAAAGCTTGTTCTCCATTTTCTTCCCTCAGCTTTCCCCTCCTGTCCTTCGTCTCATTAGGCACACCTTGATTTCATTGTTATTCTCCAGATTTTCAGATTTCTTCCGACAGCGAATTTATCTCAAAGGTGTTGGTGCCTTTGTGTAAAAAATATCTTTTGTCTTTAGAGGCTTGCAGTCCATAATTGTGATCTTTAGGCAGCTTTTTTTCCTCCATACAGTCTTGGGTTTGTTTATGCTGCAAATTGGAATCTTGGCAGGCTTTTCAGCAAGAAGTGAGCGAGGTCACCAGCACAGCATCTGCTTCAAAAATGGCTCTTAATTGACTGAAAAGCCTCAAACTCTCTCAAAGGTCAGAAGTGGCAGCCAGGTGTATTTACAAAGTAAATAATTGACAGAGATGAAGAGCAGGCTCTCTCTCTCCTGAGAGTTGCTGACAATCTGCGGTAAAACTTGCACAAAAGCAACAGGAATCTTAGCTAAGAGAACAATTCATCTTTGCTAATGCTCTCTGTGGCAGCACTTCCTTTATCGCCTGCTCCTCATTATGTTCAGTCTGACTGCCATCTCGCAATTTGAACATATTCAGAGGCTTCCTATGTGTGCTCACTACCCTAGGATAAAGTCTATATGGCAAACCTCCCTTGCTAGGTTTATTGTCTCCTTCTGACAACTATTTCAGCTTGTTACAGGGCCCACAGCTGTTGCGTGACACATGAATTAAGATATCAGATTGACCCTTCCTAAGTCCCATCCCTTTTTCTGCTGTGGTCCAATAACAGTTGAACAAGCCTCGGTCAGAAACTTTCTTCTTTCCTGTGAGCCAAATATTTTCCCAGGGTGGGGAAGTTATGGCCCGCCCTTCTCTGCCTCTGATTGATTTATAATCGTTGCCTTTTTTTGGTTTTGTTGGTTAGGTTTAGGCATGAGGAGTGAGATTGGTTAGGGTTAGTAAGAATGTCAATGCCAATCTGAGGTAGATTGGGGAGAAAAAAAGAGAAAAAAATATTGCTTCCTGTAAATAGTTTGCTAGCTAATTCCATCTGTCTTTTTTTCATAGAGGAGCCTAGCACATAGCATATCTAAGTACATGAAGCATTTTTTTCATGAACAGTCCTACTAAGCCTCTGATTGACTAGTACTTGAGCTATAGCAGTATTTTGAGTTATATTTATATATATATACAGAGAGAGCGAGAGAGAGAGAGAGAGAGAGAGAGAGAGAGAGAAAGAGAGAGCCTGTTTACTGTAAACTGTGATCAAACTGTTTAGGTCTGGGTCAACATCAGTTTAAACTCATCTAGTCTAGACATAGATGAGTTTACCCACAAAGAAAAAAACCCACAAAGTGGTGCGTGCGACACTCTGCAGTTGACAGTTCCCTTAAGTGAAACAGGAGAAACAAGGTGGATATTGATCGCTGAGACCTACAGGGTCAGGAAGTAGAGGGATGTTGATGTGTCACCAAGGGGTGCTGCAAGTTTTATGTTCCAATCAACACTGCCTCTGACATACAACGTGGCAAAGCAGATATTTGGTTTGTGTTACCTTCAAAATTAAGGTCTTAAAGTAAATATCTTTGACCTTTGTGTTGCCTTAAGTGGCCAAAAAAACAAAGTGAACTAAAACAAATAATACAGAACTACAATAATACTAGTGCCATACTAGTATTTGTTCAACCAAGAACCAAAACCAAGTATGCCAAATACACACTGCCAACCACTGCCAAAAATAAGACATGGGAGTCATGGGAGTTGTTTGTCTTCACCACCATTGCCGTCACTGATGTCGGCTTCTCCCGTGGAGTATTTCTTCAGTGTTCATGGTTCAGGAGGTTTTTACCGGGAGCCCAATTA